ATATATTGAACTTTATAAACAATGTTGGGATAATGATCCTACTAATCGTCCAGAAATAAATTTAATTCTCAATATTTTGAAACAACTTATTCCTAACGAAATTTCGAATCGGCATCGTTCTATTGAAACTTCATCACAAAATATCGAAGTTTCTTCAAGTAATAGAGACAATATGAACGCGCTTGTAAATTCACCTGGAATTACGACACCATCTCTGCTTTATTTATCTGACACAAATATTTCAGCACAAGACAATAGTATTCTTAAGATGAGAATGAAGGCACGTGAATATTTTGTTCAAGGCAAATTTTTAAAAGTATTAAAACTTTACGAAGAAATTCTCGAGAACAGCCAACATAGTGCTGAAGATCAAAAAAGTGCCTCAAATTGGGATCTTTCTTATTATAAATGTGGTGGATGGAAAAATTTAAACGAATTAACAAAGGCACTTTGCAAGAGCACCACACTAACTTCTTTGTGTCTTTATCGGAATAACCTTGGACCAAAAGGAGGAGCTTTGTTAGCAGACACACTTTGCAAGAACAATTCTCTGAAAGATTTGAATCTTAATAGTAATAATCTTGGACCAGAAGGAGGAAAAGTAATAGCAGATGCACTTTGCAAGAACATTACGTTGACTTTTCTGGATCTTGGACAGAATAATCTTGGATCCGAAGGAGGGAAAGCATTAGCGTATGCACTTTGCAAGAACGCGACACTGACTTCTTTAGATGTTTGTTGGAATAATCTTGGATCAGAAGGAGGAGAAGCATTTGCAGATGCACTTTGTAAGAATGCCACGCTCACTTCTTTAAATCTTGGTCATAATGGGCTTGGATCGGCCGGAGGAAAAGCATTAGCGGACGCACTTTGCAAGAACACTACGCTAACCTCTTTGGATCTTCATGATAATAATCTTGGCCTAGAAGAAGGAAAAGTACTAGCAAATGCGCTTTGCAAAAATACCACTCTGACTTATTTGGATCTTTGGAAAAACAATCTTGGACCAAAAGGTGGAAAAGCATTAGCAGATGCACTTTGCAAGAACAGCTCGCTGACTTTTTTGGTTATTCGAGATAATAATATTGAAATTAAATTAAGATCAAGCAATCAAAATATTATAATAACACAATAAAGTATATAAATCAGAGTAAATTATTGTAAAATAAACTGTGGTTATCATCTTTTATTATTGTAACTTACCAACAAAAAGGGTAATCATTGTATACCATATTCTGCAAAGTAATCGATAAAACTTATAAATAATTAAGGCATTAAACTGAATAAATTAGATCTTGTATTTGTAAAAACAGGAAAATCAGAATCAATTCAGTAATCAGACTCTCTAGAATCAATTATCGAATATTAAATGATTTCATATCTAAAAAATAAAAATAAATAAAGAATAAAAATTCAACTTATTATTGATTGAATACTGTAAACTGCCGAATAAAAGATCCGGATCTCTTACATTCCACCAAAAAAATTAATTAGTAAAAAAAAGAAAATAATTAGTAAAAAATGATGATACACCGGTATGGGGGATCTTGTATCCGGCAGTTTACGGTAATTAGTTTTTTGTTTCTTTATTTATTATTATTAATGCTAAAAATAGGTCTTCTGATAGTATTTTTTTCATTTGGTAATTTTTTTAACCATATTTGAAAATAAAAAGAACTTTTTAAGCTTGTAATATAATTGTTAATATTAATAATAGTTTTTGACTTTGCAATAGAATATTTAATAACTAATATTACAAATATTTTTAATTATTTTTTTAATTTTAATATTATTTGTGTTTGGTTTAATGTTTTATTAAAATTTTATAATTACGGCATACAACGGCCAATTGATGATCGAAGGGGTATCTTTAATCGATACGAAATTCTTAGTAAGTTAGGAATCCTGAGAGAGATAAACAGTTGTTATGGCAGGTCGCATTGGGCTATTAGCCTGGTGAGTCTTTATTAGAATAGAGCAATAGACTATTTTGATGTAGTACTGTGTATATTAGTCAAATAGTAATTCAAAAAATAAATAAAGGTAGGACCGCTTAATATAAAAAAATAAAAAAAAATAAAATTTTATAATTATAATAAGCTTTCTATTTTTTGTTTTTGCAATTATAGTTATAAAATTGTTTTATGTATATAGAAATATTGATATTTAATATATTTAAATTTTAAATTAATATTAAAATTTTAAATTGATATTAAATTTTTAAATTGATATTAAAATTCTAAATAGTATCAAAATGTCCAAATAGTGTAATATTATTAAAATATCTAAATTATATTTAATAAAAAAATTTTAAGTTAAAAATATTATTTCAATTATGAAGTTTGCTATTTACCACCACTGGTGATCATCACTGGTATTGCTATATCTCAAAAATGTACTAAGTAAATGGAATCAGGTACTCTAAGTAAAAATGTTCAGGACCTCCAAAAATCTTATAAGAACTGAGATTAGGCCTTTATAATAGCTCTATATTATATTATATAAAAAATAATAATTCTCTAATTTCTAACCCTAACAAATTTTAGGACTCACCAGTGGTGATATATAGTAATTTTCTTTAATGATATTTTTTTTTTATTAAAGCTAGTATTTTAGCAAGCTTTATTACTGTAGTATATATAATATATGGAGTCTTTGCCTTGAAAATGACCTTACAGTATCATATACTGTAAGGTCATTTTCAAAGCAAAACCCTATATAACTATTATAGTAATACTGTAAAAGTAATCTAATTTTTTATTTTTTATATATAAATTTAATTTTTTTACTTTTTTAAAAAAAAAAAATTAAATAATTTTTGTTATCTCTTTTAGCATCTTGTAGTTTAATTTGAATAAACTTTATTTAAATAAAAAGCTTTTAGTAAAGCTTATTTATAATAACAAAAACCAATTTGTATTACTAAATCTAGTAATATTTAAAAGAAAATTACTTAAATTACACCTGGTATATATGAGTGCTGTCAATAGAAAACCTGTCATTGGGCTTTCAATGTTCAGTTGGCTTTCTGTATGCCATCTTTAGACAATATATCATCGGAATAGATTGCCCATAGATTGCATGCAGAAAGCCAACTGAACATTGAAAGCCTGATGACAGGCAGCACTCATATACGCCACATACTAATTTATTGATTTACAAATTTGCTTAATATATAAATTGTAAACAAAAAATTAGTATAGCTTAAGGTTAAAGTGAGGGTCGTTTTAGGGTTAGACAAGGTTTTAGTTTATACTAAAATTTTGCAAGGAATATTTTTTGTTAGAACACCAAAAGCTATTATATAATCAGGGTTTTGAGATATCAATATATGTGGTGTATATACACCTGGTGTACAAATAGCAATCGCCTATTTAAAAAAATATATTTTTTAGTTTTTAGCAAATTAAATTGTTTTTAGCAAAAATGCAATTATAATCTATATCAAAATGTCTAAGATTTTATTTTTTACTATTTTGTACTACAGTGCAGACAACCTAGTTACAACAAATTAACTTGATGAAATTCAAATTGCTAAATACTTTATGTTTTTAAATCTTTTTTTTAAATCTATTTATAAAAAAGTTATAGCAAGTTAAAGTTTATATATTTTTATAATTAAATGTAAAATTTGTACACCTTTTATACAAATAAAAAAAAGCAAATTTAGCATTTTTTTATATAAATAAATAACTTATAGTACCGTATTTTCGCGTAATAACCCTCATGAGCGTTATTTAGAATAATGGCCCGAATTAAGCTTAATTTGGGCCAAATTTGCAATTATACCCTGATTTCGCGAAAATACGGTATAAAATTTTGAACTGAAACTTTATAAAAGCTGGCTCAGTCGGGTATGAGAAACAAACAATTAATTTTATATGGCTTAAATAAATAAAGGTTTCAAATTTTTTATATCGGTAACATTAATTAAATTTTTATTTTCAATAATACTGTAATATTAGTGTTTGTAGTCGATCCTTATTTATCGACTTTAATATTTTTTACCTTCGGAATTATCGGAGATTTTTGTCTCGTATTTTATGTTCGTCGATTTTCTTTTCGGTATTTTTTAGCCTTTACTCTTAGTACTATGTACTAAAAGAGGTAATGTAATGTATTTAATCTGATTGGTTACTTTAATATAATCTAACATAAAATCGACTAAGTCGATTTTTTGGAAAATCGGCTGCTAAGTCGATAAAAATCGACTATGCGAAATCGACTACAAACACTAATTATCAATTTTATAATATATAAAACAAAGTATATGGAATTTTTATGTATAGAAAATATCTTAGTAAAAAAATAATATTGTGATGCGTGAAAATAATTATATTCCAGGGGTGTAATTTCGAATTTTAGCCTAAATTAAGGTTAATTCAGGCTAAGGATTGAAATCGGTTTAGTCGACTAAAAAATTTTTATAGTAAGCTACTATGTTTAGTCGACTAATTAGTCGACTAAACATAGTAGTCGACTAAACCGATTCCAATCCCTAATTCAGGCCATTATTCAAAAAAGTACTCCTATCACTACATAAAGATCGCAGGGTATTTTATTACTAACAATCCTGGGTATTCGCGCTTATACGGTACATAATAATAATGATAAACTAGAACATAAAAAAAGTGGTTTAATTTACATGACATTATCACGAAAACAAACTAATCTCGAATTCGCAAAGAGAACTTTGCGCATAGATCACTTTTGTGAGGACTAGTGATGTAAATTGGATACGCGCAGAATTACATGCTCTTAGTTTCTGCGTACTTCATTGAAACATGCTAAGCGGCATTTTTCTTAATAGCGTCTATTATTTTTTAGTTTCAGCATATAGAGCACATATGAAATTTATGGGTTGCGCTTATGATTTTTATGGATAATGTGCGCTTTGTGCGTATAAAAATTTTTGAATTTATAACACTGGTGAGGACCACGGCTTTCTGATAGTTCTAGCTTTTCATAATGTGTAATGATATTCTTAAACATTACATCTATTACAATCTTGCATAAAATAATCTTCTTGTCTCAATTGGTTTCCTGGGATTTGTTCTATATATTTTCTGAGCGATATCCAAGTCAAAGCACTTTTCCATGTCCTTCGGGCATTTCCAATTTTTGAATACTTCTATAATGGTTGCTATTCCATTCCAAATGACAAATGATTTCAAATTCCTTATACTAAAGCATAGTTTTAATTGGATTTTATTTTAAAAAAGAAAAAAATTGAATAATATATGACTTACATTCGGTAATTTTATGATGAAAAATCATCTTGAGCATTATTCAAATAATTTCTGAATGATTATTGTGAAATTTGGATATATTCACCATAATTTTCTTTACAAAGTTCTGTAATTGGAACACGCGTTTTATATTTGTTTTATAACTTCGTGAGTGACGCCATTTACAATATAAGATATAATTATCTTTCTGAACTAGATAACGTACAATTTCGGTAATCTATAAGAATAAATAAATGTCAGCAATTCACGGAAAACTTTTTTTGTATAAAATTGAATGATGCTGTTAACACACATTATCTTTTTTTTGAAAAATATCTACTCTTGGCCTGCTTATTCTCAGCCACCACTACTTGTATGTAGCTGTTTGCTATCTATAAAACATGCAATTTTAACTGTACAGTAAAAAGCATAGTTACGAATTATAAACGTGAATTTGACATTTAGACATATACTGTAAAACTTTATATTCCAATTCAAGTCAAATAACTGGACATATAAACGTTAATATTATAAAGTATATACAGTATAATATTTTCTTACGTTAGTCCTTGGGGGATTGGATCTATCTATTAAACTAATAAAAATTAACAAATTATTTATTGCAAAGTATGACAATCGAATATGTGTATATCATATTTTTCAAACTTACAAGTTCGTGTTCTTCAGAGTTGGTAGACTAAATTGTAAATAAACTCCATAACGTAAAGAAAATTAAATATACCGAAATAGATCTTCACATATTTCTCGTACTTGACTTCTAAAAAAAAAAAGGATATAAATTCTTGGTGACTCTTATGGTTTCTCATTATTTGGAACGCAAAGTTCATTTATTATATTCCACACGATTTGAAGAATTCTGAATTAGGATTGAGAACGAAGTCTTTATGATACAATTTCCCAAAAATCATTTTCACGAAAGGACATAATACCGACAAGGTTAGCTAGCATTAGTTATAATGTTTGCAAATTTGATCGGTATTACGTTCTTTCGGGAAAATGGCTTTGGAAATCGTACCCTTTTGTCTAGAGTTTTGAACCGGTTGTTTACAAATGCCATCATTCACAGGTCGAATTTTAAATTTCTGAGAGAATGTCGAACGTCGATATGCCTGATAGCTAACTGATTTTGGCTCGTATTTTCACCTATCGGAAGGATATCGGTTCCGATAGGCATAATCCAAATGCATTTTGACAGAAGTATCAGATATCTGATATGCCTATCGGGACCAATATCCTTCCAATAGGTGAAAATACGCGCCAAAAATCGGTTAGCTATAAGACATATCGACGTCCGATATTCTGCTGATATCTCTCAGAATTATAGAAATTTAAAATTCGGCCTGTGATTAGAAATGCTGGTGAAATTAATTTCATCAATTTCATCAATTCAACACCAATTTTTTTTATCACTCCAATTTTGGTTCACTAGCATCTATTGTTCTCATAAATTCCGTTCGGTATATAATAGACATGATAGACGATTTCATCACGATACATTATTGCTTTTTATATATTGTATAATCAGTTAAAAGTTATAAATGTTCGTAGATTCTCTTAACATAGGCAGTCTTTCAATTTTGATAGTATATATTTAATAATAAACAAATTCATTTGTCATAAAAACAAAGATATCTTAAAAAAAGTTATATCCTAAAAGTGATATCTCTTATCATCTATTGCATATAATCCCTTGACCCGGTGTAATTTATCACTTTCTTTAAATGTATTAAAGCCATAATAATTTCATTATATGACAAGAATATTTAACGCTTAAAAGTTTGCTTATTATTGAAGCTAAGCCTGTACATCGAGATTAATACTGTATGCTTAGTTTATGCGAAAATTTATGGCAAAGAGTGTTCTTGTCAATCAGTAGGCTTCACTTGAAATATAAAAAGAAGTTCTGAATATAAAGTTGGACTTCAATAATAAGCGTGATTGTGACGAAATTTTTTATCACACAAGATTTCAACCTGAAATTTAAGAACTTAGTTACTCGCAATATCACATTTGGGTAATATATAATAAAATATGCATTGTAATAAATATTGATACGTATCGGTATCACTGAAATCAAAAGATTATCGGCCGAAGGCCCAAAATTTATTATATTATATTGGAATAGTTGTAAAAAACAGGACATCTATCCGGATATCCGGTTAGATATCCGTGATACATGCACAATAAAACCATTACATTTTTTTTAATATGTGCATAGAGATTGGAACCGTGTAAAAAATTTTCCTAATATTTTTAGCCATGTTAAACTGTTGAACAGCCGGCATTACTGTACTGCTGTAAGACATAATCAACAGAATATGTTGATCATGGACTAAAATTATCTTAATGCTGGCTGAATTAAACGGTTGAACGGTTTCTATTTACATATCGATATGTTCTCGTGATTTCGGTAAAATAGTTTCTATTTTGTATGGATTACTTAAAAACACCGATGTTTATCATGCAATTACAAATCGCATAGAACCTAAAATGATTTCCAGGAAATGCGATTACGAAATGAGTTTTCGCATTTTCAAGGGTCTGTATTTATCCAATATTTCTTAATTTGAATATAAGAAACCTGATTAATGCATATAGTTTACGGGAACAAATCATGATTAAGTAATTTGATAGTTTAAAATAAGGTAAAATCAATATATATTATATATATATAATATATATTTGTATAACTTATACTGTATATAAATCATATATTTATATTTATATTTTTTTATTTTTTATTTATTTATTTATAACACCAATACAAGCATATCTTAGATTACACATTGTGAGAATTTTGCAAAAGATTGATTTATTAATCATGTGTAAGGGTCCACATTAAATAATCATACACAAACATGAGACATGGGCGTACGGAATTAAGGGTCCACAAAAAAATTTGACATAAAGAGATATAATTTGTCTTATTTTGTTGGTCTCTTGGAATTCAAAATAAATGTTAATCTTCTTCAACAGAAAAAGTGTTGTTAAATACCAACATGAAACCATATATTAATACTCGGTATTTATTTTACGTAAGTATATTAAGCAATCCGTTTCGTTGTACTTTCTCGAACGCCTTTAAAATACTTAAGTTTATAATTTTACGGAGAAATAGATGAACGACAGAATTAGCATCGATTTACGTTTCAACAATTCCAATTCGATATTGGATAATGCATATTTCAATATTAGCTAGTATCTTTGTTTGATAATGAACGACATCTTATTTGTTACAATTTAGACATTTTGGCAAAGATCAGACAGCAAGGATCTACCTGTTGATTATTTAATATGTTTAAAGATAGCTTCCTTGATGTGGATCTTTTTGGGTCGTTTCGTATTGGTGTTCTGAATTTATCAGTGATTATTTGATAGACCACTTGCCTTTATTATAAGGGATATACAAAACTTGCGCATACGCACTGTACGTATAGCTAAGGGATGAACTGTTTGTTTTGGCGACTCAAGCAGGGAGTATCATTATGCATTAAACTGATCTTTATAAAAGAATGATAAGACTGCAATATTTAATAATAATCAAATCTTACTAAAATAATCAATTAAAGTTTCCCAAATTCAAAAAAGAAAAATCTTTGATACTGTAATACATTGTTCGCAATACAATCATTAACAAGTAAAGAAAAATATTAAAAATTATTGGATTATATTGATCGACTAAATGAAATTATAATTATGAATACTTAAATTTTAAAGATATTTCTTTGCGTAAAAATATGCAATGTAAGGCTTACAATAAGGTCGCTTGCTCCAAACTGTATATACAGTACATTAACTTTATATAACTAATGCTCAGTTATAGTACCATTCTCCTAAGCAAATACGTACTGTACGTACGTATAATGCTATTGATTATTTGCATTTACATATTTTATTTATTAGCCGTAATGCTCAGCTATACGCACGCAAACACCATTCTATTAACGAGTACGTATAATGCTATTGATTATTGCATTTACATATTTTATATATTTATTAGCCATAGATGGTAAAGAATAGTGTCCCGTGCCAAAAAAATCTTTAACTACAATCGATACTGTCTAACTGCCAGACATTTTTATGCATATAGACAGTATATGCATTTAAGTAATAAGAACTATTTTCGTGCTAATAAGACAGTATGCAATTAAACAGTAGCGACTATATTTGGTTATATAAATGATAACTCCGATCTTTCTATTATTTTTCTGTGAAGGTTTCATAAAAAAAAATTACGTTATCACGTAGATCATAATATCTACGATTTTCATGTAAGCATCTGAAATATTCCAGTAATTGTGATTATTTAAATAAAGTTTTCTTTAGATTATATAATTGCTCATTTACTATGGGATGTTTTTATTGGATTGTGGGTCGAATTACGTAAACCTTAAGCGTTAGTTCATTGTGATATCTCTTGCCCCACGCGCTCGTTTCACTACATTGTCATTTTATGCTTGCGATTAGAGAATTCCTTGTTCACGCGCTTGGCCTGTGATTAGCAGATCGTAGATACACCAATCGAATTAAAAGGCAATCGTCGAGCGAGCAAATGTTGAAAGCGGAATTAAATTTTTTTGCATCAAGTTTCGGACTTAAAGTATCTTTTAATTGGTAACTGATAATAAGCTGATTGCTGATAACGCGTGAAAAGCTTGTAGTGCTCAAACGTACGTGCGTACGTGCGTACGTACGTACTCTCGTCGCTATTCCCCTAAATTGTTAAGATCAATAAGTCAATCCTTTACATATTTGATCCGTTTTCCGTTACCGAATGTACGAAGGTTTATTGGTTATTCTTAACATCAGCCGATTTTCCATCTTTGTCTCTGTTAATTAATATCCAAAACCAGATTATAAATTAAATTTAATTTAATTTATGTAATAGACTTGATGTAAAAAAAAAAAAGTCAAAGCTTTCGTTACAATTCCATAAGGGATTGTCGGTGCAGCGTAAATAATTACGCGCTTTGTTATTATGAACTACTCATCTTTTTATTAAGCACATTAGGATTTGATCGTAAACTTAATCTATTT